ATCCTAATGATTGAAGTACATTTGAATGTTATCTTCACCTCATTTGGTCACCAGGGATAAGTGCTTTGTTTGATGGTATTTAAAATTCAGCTGTTTATACTTAACCATGCACAGAATTACAATTTCATACCAAAACCTTGGGTTTTGGGTTTTTAAGTTTTCATCTTGTTCATCCAAGCCTCAGTTTTCTCCTCGAGTGGGGAGGTTGGGGGAGTTGCTCAAAGACTCCCATCTCTGTAACATTCCAGTGTGTCACTCATATTTGCAGAAAGGAAACCTTGTCCCAGGAATGAGATGGATTGATAGATATAAATACTATCAATACTGCTACAAGAAGTGATTGAAAATTGTAAAAATGGTAAAAGGGGCAAGAGATACAGGAAACACACACACAAACACACACACTCTCGCTCTCTGCTGGCCTTGCATGCAAGCAGACTCTACACCCAGCACTGCATACAGTCCCTGGATGTGTCTGACCCCTAACTTTTTTTTAGGATAGCAAACTTAATTAGCCCATGCTTATGTCTTCTACTGTGGTCCTTATCTATTTCTGGTATTACTCCATAACGGTGTGTTCCGTGATCTGCATGGTCTGGTGTAAAAGGTTAAAATGGCATAAAAGTTCTCATCTTCCATTTACTGGTTTTTGCAGCTTTTGTGGTATGTGATGACTGTTTGTTAAAAATACTATTTATGTATTCTTTACCTTGTACCTTTGAATTTTGAGTGTAAGGCTTACTTTGAGACCATGTAATTCTAGTAACTAACACAAGAGGTCAGCAAACAGCTATTCAAATGTGGAATGTTAGGTGAATTCAAGAAATATGCCTATTAGCACAGAGGTAGGACGTTTGCCTTGCACAGCGGCCAACCCCGGTTCAGTTCTTCCGGCCTTCTCGGAGAGCGCGGCAAGCTACCTAGAGTATCTCGCCAGCATGGCAAAGCCTGGCAAGCTACTCGATGTATTGGATATGCCAAACAGAGGAACAAGTCTCACGATGGAGATGTTACTGGGCCTGCTCGAGCAAACTGGTGAACAACAGGAGGACAGTGACTGATTATTACTTTATAAATATAATTTACAGTCCTAAAATATCAGGGAACACTTTCTATAAGTAACTTAAGACTTTTTAAAAGGCTTCCTTGCTTGCTATTTAAATTTTAATTCTACCTTATATTTTAGGTTACATTTCGGACAAGAATCTATCACTGTAATATTAACAGTCAAGGAGTTATTTGCTTGGACATATTGAAAGATAATTGGAGTCCAGCATTAACCATATCTAAAGTCCTCCTTTCTATATGCTCACTTCTTACAGACTGTAATCCTGGTAAGTTTAATTTTTATTTTATTCCTCAACTTTATTTTCCGTCCCTCTTTTTGCATTTCTCTCACATTGATTGTGTCAAAACAAATCACATGCTCCTAAATATTGAGTCCATACAACTACCAGAGCCTGCAGGTTCACTGAGCACTTTCCTTGCTGGCTGGCAACTGAGGTTTCTCTGTTTTTGGGTTTTTTCTTTTTTTAATTGAATCATCATGAGATACAGTTACAAAGCTTTCATGTGTGAGGTTCAGTCATACAGTGCTCTAACACCCATCCCTCCACCAGTGCATTTTCCACCACCAATATCCCCAGAATGCCCCCTTCTCAACCCTCCCCCTGCCTCTAGGGCAGACAATTTCCCCCATACTGTCTACTTTGGGGCATTATGATTTGCAATACAGATACTGAGAGGCAATCACGTTTGGTCCTTTATCTACTTTTAGCACACGTATTCAGTTTCAAGTGATTCCTGCTCTGTTGTGATGAGAATGACTATTTCCTTGTATTGATTAAAAATTACTGTATTTAAATATAGACAAATATATCTATGTATAAAATTCTCATGTATGTTATCTATAAATAATACAATATATTTTAATTTCAGAGAAACAGCATATTTAATGGGTGGTTTTCTTTGTGGTGTTGAGGGTCAATCTAGGGCCTCGCACCTGTAGGGGGGAGGTCTGAATTTTGATCTAGCTCTTTCTAGATTGCATCACACTGTGGTAGGCCCAAGGACTCTAAGGTACATATTGTCATTTTAATCATGTGAAGACAGCTAGATGTTCTTGTAGTCTGGTGTTATGAATGGTCCAGTTTCTAAAAGCAAAATATTATACTTGGGCTTGTTAGGAGAAAAATGGAATGAACTGAGATTAAAGCAGATCACTCTGATAAGGATATTTTTTCCCCTTACATGTGATTTTTGTCTTAAAGTTGTAGAAGAAAAGTATCTTGGATGGTTGGTATTTCAAAGATGAGTTCAATCACATATCCTTGTAAGCTTGTTACTAATTAATTTTTCTAAAATTTAAAATATTCCTTTCTCCATTCTTTCCTTCCAGCCGACCCGTTGGTGGGAAGTATTGCCACTCAGTATATGACCAACAGAGCAGAACATGACAGAATGGCCAGACAGTGGACCAAGAGATACGCTACATAAATGGGGTTTTCACAATTCTTACTATTATTTGTCTGTCACAGAGAGAGCTGCTTATGATTTTGAAGGGGTGGGGGAGGGTGGGAGTTGGTAAAGAGTAGGGTATTTCTATAACAGATATTATTCAGTCTTATTTCCTAAGATTTTTGTTGTAACTTAAGGTATCTTGCTACAGTAGACAGATTTGGTAATACCAACTCTTAAAAACTCATTAGTTCTGTTTTATTAGCTGAAATGTAGTACAAAGAAGAACAAATATTTGGGTTCAGTTGCTGGCAGTCTGTAAATTTCAAACAGCCTATTTTGTGCAGATTACACACACGTAGGCAAACACACACACAGCCTTTTATGTGAAGTCCTTCAACACTCTTGAAATTTGTTTTCCTTTCTTAGATGGAAACATTTTAATCTTATATATAATAAAATGGACACACGGCTGTAAGACACCATATAGGAAATTAGTTGTATATTTTATTTTATAAACCAATCTTCTTTATTGTGGAAATATTAGAGGTTTGATCAGGACTTGTGAAAACCTGTAGTAAAATACCTTAAGCTGTTAACTGTAAGGCGTGGAATAGGAGTTACCCAGTGGATTGGTTATATGTTGTGGACTAATTAAGTCTGCATTTGTTACTGTGCTAATAAACAATATTAAAATAACCACCCAACATTGTTGTGTCATTACCTTTATACTTCCTTCTAACTTTGGTGACTACTGAGACAACCAGAAGTAATACAGATAGTGTATGTAGGTATGTTACTCTTTATTCAACAGCCATACATGATTTTGCAGTCTTAGAAAATACTGGACAAAGAATCTCTGGTGTAACTTGTCACTCCAGTGTCTGCAAATATATGAGAAAAGGTTCTCTTGTGGGTAAAGAATTAAGTGCAGTAGTTTTTGGCTCAGACTGACTGTAACCACCCTTAAAACTTTTACTACTACTACATATTTGTTTAATAAGTAATTTATTTTCAAATCGGGCTGGAGCACAGAGGGTAGGGTGTTTGGCCTGCACACAGCTGACCCAGGTTCAATTCCTCCATCCCTCTCGGAGAGCCCGGCAAGCTACCCTTGGCATATTCGATATGCCAAAAACAAGTCTCACAATGGAGACGTTACTGGTGCCCACTCTAGCACCATGAACAGTGCTATTTTCAAATCAAGAAGTATAGCTGGTAGGGTGCTTGCCTACTAGCCATATGGCTGACCTGGGTTCTGTCTCCAGCAACCATACACCATATGGTTCTCACTGCCCGCCAGGCGTGATTTCTGAGTGCAGCCCCAGGAATAACCCCTGACCACTGTTTGGTGTAGCCCAGAAAACAAAATTGAGCAGTTCGCTGCTTTCATACTGAAAAGAATTTTAATTGTTACAATATTCAACTTAAAAGTACAATTAGCCCTGCTCACATCTTGCCCAAATGTTCATTATTACATATCAAGAAAACTTCCTAAAAACAAGGGAAGTTTTATTGGAATAGAGGAAGGTTTAATGGAGTTGACATTGTTACTGACAATCCTGCATTGACAGTCATCAGCTGTGAACAATGGGCATGACCCCTCAGCCCCAAAACATATTTCATAAATAGCAACTTTATTAACTTATTAAACAAAAATAGATTCCATGCTTAGCAGTTCTTAAAAGTTTGAATAACCTAATACCTCAGGTCATACTAAACAAATCCAAACACAAATTTTGCACAATGGCACAAAAGCTCCACAAGACAATATGTTTATACTATTAAAAGTTTATTTTTAAAGTTTAGCTTATTAGTATCTAAATTGCTTATGAAATATTTTTTCCATAAAACAGCACTTCACAAATTTGCATCCTTGAGCCGGTGCCATGCTAATCCTTCTCTGTACCAATCCAGTTTTAAGTGTATGCACTGCTGAAGTGAGCACTGAAGCACTTAAATTATTTCATATTCTACCTAGACACTGGATAGTTAATGAAAGTTATCTTCAAGCTAAATAGTTTAGTTACAGGCCAAAAAGATACTACAGTGGCAGGGCACTTGGTCAACGTGGGTTCCATCCCCAGCATTCCATATGGTACCCTGAACACTGCCAGCAGTGATCCCTGAGTACAGAGCCAGGAGTAAGCCCTGAGCATAGCAGGTATGTCCGTGCCCTCCCCACCCCCCCCAAAAAAAAGTTACACAGAAGCTTCTGAAACAGGTGATAAAGGAAAAGCTATTTCAAGGGTAACTTGTATATATCAGAATATGCAGATTTCAACTGGCTGGAGCAATAGCACAGCGGGAGAGCATTTGCCTTGCACAAAGACAGCCCGGCCAAGCCAGGTTCGATTCCTCTACCCCTCTCGGAGAGCCCAGCAAGCTACCAAGAGTATCTCGCCCGCATGGCAAAGCCTGGCAAGCTACCCATGACATATTCAATATGCCAAACACAGTAACAAGAAGTCTCAAAATGGAGACTGGGCCCGCTCAAGCAAATCGATGAACAACAGAAGGACAGTGACGGTGCTGCAGATTTCAGGAGCTGATTTCAGTTTCAAATAATGAATACGACTATTTCGATTACATGGCCCAAGTAATTTGGAAACGTGTTAAATTACCTTATGAGTTTCCAAAAACCTATTTGAAATAGCTTATTTCAGTTCGCAGACATTTAAAGGCGAACACTAACAAACCGTTCTCGCGGATTGAGTTAGTTCTCAGAGTTCCCTTTGTTTTTCCTCCCAGGTAGCGGAAAACTTGATTTGCTCTGGGGTTGGGACAGTTTACTGGCTAATAAAGTGAATGGTTCAATAAGAGTTTTTCGATCTGTAACTGTTACCTCCCACAGTCGCACTTTCTCGCTCTTTGCCCACTGCTGTGCCACTTCAGCATCCACTTGTCTCTGCTCAGATAGGTCAATTTTGTTTCCTAGTACAACAATGGCTACCTGAAAGAACAATAGGTGAGTAAGAGCATACTTTGCCAACAACCTAAGCAAAATAAAGTTGCTTCATCTTAACTCTCACAGTAAGATATAAAATAGTAAGATGTTACAACCTCACTTCTCTCTCCTTACATGTTTTTTGTTAAAATAGATTAATTAAGATAGAGGTTTTGGGGTTGAGGAGTTATGCCCATTGTTAACAGGTGAAATTCGTTATACAGGATTGTCAATGTAAGACTCTCAGTAGCGATGTCAACTCAAATTGTTATGTACGATAGGGTTGAAGGGATTGTATGGCAAGCAAGGTCAAGACCTTTCCCAGGTTCCACATGTGGTCTCCCAAGCACTGTCAGAAATTCAGAAATAAGCCCTGAGCACAGCCTGGTATGCCCCTCAGATAGATATACACAAGTTGTTAAAATATTAATGGTTAAATGGAAATTTTTCAAAAAGCTGGGAAATTTGTGATATACCTTATATGACAACTACTGATACTGAGCATTCTGTACTTTTTGAGACTAAATTCCAAAGGAATAGAAAGATGTAGCTTGTTCACATGACTGCTAATTATAGAGAAATGGTGGGGCGCTGGAGAGAGGACAGCAGGTAAGGGCCTTGCTATGCATGCGGCCGACCCAGGTTTGATCGCATATGGTCCCCCAAACACTGCCAGGAGTAACTCTTGAGCATTGTCATTCAGGGCTGGCCCAAAAACAAACAAAAAGTGCTGAATGCAAGTGGTAAGAATCGGTTGAATGTATAGCCAGAGGTCTGTTTTACATTAAATATATAAGGCAATTTAAATCAGAATCATTCACTACAGACCAGGCACTATTGTTTTTGTTTTGTTCTGAGATCTTTCATTTACTGCCTTGTCTATTCCATCATACTCAACTGACAAAACCCCTATTTAGGGTTTAGGGTTAATTAAAACACAGTGCTTGGAGGGCATATACTGTACCACTGAGTCACATTCTGGGTCCCCAGTTAAATGGAACTCTACCATCACCACATGGCTGGAGAAAACAAATCCCTACTGATGGGTCGAAGTTAATCGTTGTCATAAGGGGGAGGGGGAGTTCACCAGCATTTCCTCCACTCACTGTTACTAGACACTGCCCTACTGCAGTGTCCTCCTCACCTTCTGCCCCACCTTATTCTCAACTGATTTTCAAACTATTTTCAGTAAAAAAACAGCAATTAAGAAAGACATTCCACATGTTTTCCACAGCTAGCCTCCAGTCTGCCAAACCTTGCAAGTCCATGTTTCACAATCTCTAGAACCCCTTGTTTTTAACCTGACATGATTAATTACAATCTAGTAATTAAACCCCCCTCTTTGTTTTTCTCTCTTGAATCCTGTGACCAATAACAAAACATCACCTAAAAATACCTTCTTTTTGCACCGCTTTCCTCCACCCATTTCCACTCCAATTTAGTAAAAACAATGTAGTGTTTGACTAATGTTTCTTAAGATCAGGTAGTAGGAGTCAGACCAATATAGTACAATGGGCAGTGGCTGACCTAGGTTCAATCCCTGGCACTCCATATGGTCTCCTGAGCTTTCCAGGAGTAAGCCTTGAGTATCACCAGACCAAGTGTGGCCCCAAAACAAGAAAAAGATCTGGTTACTTTTCATACTGTACACAAGAATACTACTATCAGCAAATAAAAGATCCTTCGACGACTCCACATCTTTCTATAGGTCTCATGTCAAAGATGTAACCCTTTCGTCTATGGTTCCCTAAAATAGTAAGGAATCAGGAGGCAGCCATGTGACAACATGGAGAAATAACTGAGTTCCAGGTAGGGAAATGAGCAACTGAAGTCTTAATAGGGTAACAGTAAGTAAACCAGTGTCACTAGAGAGGAATAGAAATACATAAAATGGGGCCAGAGCGATGGTACTGTGGATAGGATCTTGCATACGGCCAACCTGGGTTCAATCTCTGGCACCCCATATGGTTCCCTGATCCCTCCAGGAATGATCCCTGAAGGTGTAGGGAAAAAATTTTTTTTTTAAGTAGGCCTGCAGGGTGGAGAGAGTACAGTGGCTATGTGCTTGCCTTGAAGACGGTGGAATTGGGTTCAATCTGTATTATCGTATGGTCCCAGGAGTAATTCCTGGGTGGAGAGCCAGGAGTAAACCCTGAGCACCACTGGATGTGTCCCAAAAACAAAAAGTAGGCCTGGGTCTTGAGCACTACTAAATATAGTCCCTGGGTCCTAGCACCACCAGGTGTGGTACCAAAACAAGAAAAACAAATGTGCTTGGGCCAGATCATTAAGAAAACCACAATAAGGACCTTATTTTTAAATGGCAAGTGGGTAAGATTCAAGTGGGTAAATTTTTTATCAGGGTCGGTAAGGCTGTAGACAAAAGCCCTATTGAGCCAAGAATTCAGAATCATAGGAAAGAGTAACCCCCAAGCAACAGGAAATTAACTATACAGTATTTGAGTGTGCGGTCATTAAACTTAAACTTACTACAGCAAGCAAAGGAAATCTAATGTTGGTCCTGACTTAATTCATGCCCATATTTCTTGGGATAAGAAAAATTTAAAAATTTACTGATGCTCTGAAGATAGTTTAGTGATTCTAACATATAGTGCCTCAAAAAGTCCATATACAATTTAGTATTATAATTCATAGTTGGCATTTAAAACATACCTCTTTTTTATCTTTGAACTTGTCAATTTCTTTCTTTAGGAGCTCCACTCTTTGAAAAGATTCAAGATTATTCACACTGTACACAAGAACAAAGCCATCAGCAAATGAAAAATAATGCTTTGGCAACTCCACACCTTCCTGTAGACCTCTGGTGTCATAAAGATGTAACTGTTCCTTTACTCCCCGATCTGTTTCCACTGACGCCATATACACATCTTCCATTGTTTCACAGTCTTCTATTCCTAGGATTTAAAAAAATGTACTTCTTTTGGATAACTTACTACCAACTGCTGAGTAGTTTCTTTTAGAACTACTCCTGGCTCTGTGCTCAGAGGTCAACCCTGGTGGTGGTTGGCAAACGTGATGCTGGCTATCCATTGGGTCTGGCTGTATACAAGGCAAGTGCCTTAACCCCTGTACTCCCTCTAGCCATGGAACTGGCCCTGTAATTTTTTTATTCATACATATAAAAATCACATTTACATTAACTTCCTTTAAATGAAAGGTAGTATAGTAAGTTAAATTATTTTTAAAATTTATTTGGGAAATGGAGAGATTAGTACAGGGGATATGGTGCTTGCATGTGGCCAGTTGTAACCCTGGCATCACACATGGTCCTCCGGGCACCATCAGAAAGTGATTCTGAGCACAAAGTATAACTCCCCAACCAAAAAATTATTCTGCATAGAAGTAGAACATATTTGGCAAATCAAAAACTATTAAAAGAATCAAAGGACTTAAACACCTGAATTGGAGAAACTGAAGACTAGCTCTACAAAGCACCTGCAACAGGGCTGGGGAAAATACCTCAACAGGCCGGAGCATGTACCCTGCATGCAGGAGATCCAGGTTTGAGTACTGGCACCACATGCTATTCCAAGCACCACCGACTTACCGCAAAAAACAAATAGCACTTGAAACATCTAAGCAACCCATTTTCTGGAGTCAGAGATAGTACAGCCAATAGGATACTTGCCTCGCATGTGCCTGAACTGAGTTTGATCCCCGGCATCACAAATGGTTCCCCAAGCTCACAGGAGTAAAACCTGAGCACTACCAGATGTGGCACAAAAGCAAAACAAAAAACCCAATGTGACCCCATTTTCCTCATCAGAGCTAAACAAAAGGCTTGAGGGGATTCATGGCTCTTTTCTGGAGAATATTCCCAGAGACTGTTTAAGGGACTCAGAAATTTAGGGCTGGGAATATAGCTCAGTAAAACATGTGTTGCATGTGTGAGACCTTGGATCCTTAGCACCTCAAAAAATATTTGAATATTCAGTATGAACCTGAATACAAGATCTTTGCTACTGTACTTTGCTACTGAGCCACATCCGGGCCCTGTTAGGATCTATTAAATTTATTTTGTCATTTTGGGGGTGATACTTGGTACACAGAGCCACTCCTGCCTCTAATCAAGGGCCACTTCGGGTGGGTTCTGTGCCTGATGGAGTATTCATGGTGCTGGGATTCAAACTATCACTGCGGAAGCAGCTACGTGCTAAGCAAGCATCTCAAAACTTTTGTACTATCCTGCCCAGATTTTATTTTTGTGATAAAATGTATGCCTACTAGGCATCTGTATATGTCCAGCAGATAATCCAAGCTAATACCACTAGCCTTTCCTCCACACACCTGTTCCTCCTTGATGATTTCTTCCCTTGATCACCACCCACCTAGGCAGTCTTCAGAGCTTTCTTTAAACAAAGTGTGGGGTGAAGATGATCAAAAATCAGTTGTTCTACTGTTTACCTGCTCAACCCGGCAGCCGAAAACTTCCAGAACTCAATCGCCGCCAAGCTCACGGCCAATCTCCACAGGCTCGGAGGAGCCTCATCCATGAGTGAATCTGCTGAGAAACTTAGGTATGCAGGTTTTGTGATCGAAATCTCCAGGCTTGCACAGTCGGGAATGGGCAACCTCCCCCCCATCTCCCTGTTCTTCTGGGAGCCTGGCAGTCTCGCCCACAAACTGCCTCTGGTGCCATATAAGCTCATTAACAGCCATGATCCAGAGACTCACAAATAAATCTTGAAAGAGAGCAACACGTTGCAGAGATGCCTGCGGACCCCAAAGTCACCATCCAGTTAAAAAATTAACTCCAGCTGTTATCACCCTATTTAAAATTTTAGAATTCCTAGAGCAACATCTCATGCTCTATTCCACTGACGGGGCATAAAGTAGAAGGCAGCCAATCTCAATTAGAAAAAAAAAGGGCATTATGGTTTACAATACAGATACTGAGAGGTTATGTCTTTACCTACTTTCAGCATACAGCGTATCTTTTTAAATTAGTATTTTGTGTTCTTAGGATATCAAGGAGAATTACTGAATGACATGGCATTTTATAATTCTGTGTTTTGAGACATCTCAATACTGCTGTCAAATATTGCAAGGTTGGATCAGTTTACATCCCATGAGCATGAATGTGAGATCCTTTTTTTTTTTTACCATATTTTACCTTTTTTTACCCACCAACATCAGTTGTTTCAGATCTTCTTAAAATTTCACTGTAGGCACCATGGTTTACAAAACTGTTACTAGTAGGCTTTCGTGCATAAAATTTTCCTGCATCACACCCTCCATCAGTGTAGTCTTCTTAATCCAGGCCATTCTCAGTGGTGTGAGTTGGTATCTTATTGTCATTTGATTTGCATTCCCCTGATAAGCAACTATGATGAATACTGTTTTTCATATGCCTACAGGTCATCTGTATGCCTTCTTTAAGGAAGTATCTGTTCAACTTCTCTCCTAATATTTTAAGGTGTCGTTGAGTTTTATGAATACTTTGTGTTTTGGATAAAATGTACAGCACAATTATTTCCCCCAGTTTGCTAGGATATCTGTTTATATTAACCATAGTTTATCTCAGAGCAAAAGCTTTTTAGCTTGACCCAGTCCCATTTTTGTTTTTGCTTTCTTTACCAGTAGAGTTGAATCATAAAATCATCCCTGGAGTCAATATAATGGAGAGATTTGCCTGTGTTTTCTCTGATGGATTCAGATGTAATACCATTGCCTTTAATCCATTTTTAATTAAATTTTGTGTATGGTGTGGAAAAAAAATATATATATATATCAGCACAGAAGCCTCAACCTTTAACATGTTAGTAATCTCTTGTACAAGAGCTGCTTAATGGCTCCAGGGTGAGATGCAACAATCTTCACAAACTTTCCCCTAAGGAAACTTTTTCAATCATTTTTAGCAGATTATTCCATAACAAGCAATACAAAATAAATTATTTACGTCCTGCTTTGGGGGCAGGCTTTGGGGGGTTGGGGTGGAAAAATTTGCAATACGGTGATGGGAAGGTGTAATGATAGTGGGAATACTAAATGTAATAAATTGTGAAAGCCTTTATAGAAATCAAATTTTTTTAAAAAAGAAAAATACTTGCTCAAGTCATTGTCTCCTTCCACAACATTGACATGTTAGAGTTACCTGAACTATTGCAGTTCAGTAAACACTTTATATACTTTACAGACTCTGCTGAATTGTCAATTATTTGGATCTTCTCCCAGTTCTTTCTCTCCTTTCTGCTCCCATTGCCTGGGGTATGGATACAGGTAAGACCCTTTCATAACTCTTTACATCTATTCTTCTTAAAGTTGTATGTCAATCTTGAAAGCCAACCCATAGACATCTTGTAGATCTGAGAACTAAAAAAGTTAACTACATAGAAAGTCCTTAATAAATTTGTTATCTGATTGGAATGAATAAATGAATGAGCAAGCTCATCACTGATGTCCCAATTTTAGTTGTTGTTTGGTTGGGGGGGGGGGGACACACATCCAGTGTTGCTCAAAGATTACTCCTCGTGTTGTGTTCAGGGATTACTACTGGTGGTGCTTGGGAGACAATATGCAGTGCCAGGGATTGAACCCAAGTTGGTCACAAGCAAGGCAAGCCCTATCTGCTGTATTATCTCTCTAGATCTTAATCCCTTTGCCTGAGTGATCCTTTTTTTCTGTTCAAGCATGCACCTGCACCTGCTTTTTTAAATAATCTCCACTAGAATAAAGCTAGTTCTTCCTAAGAATTTATCTCATTTGTAGTCAGCGTGCTTAATAAGAACAACTTTGCATTGCACACCATTCTAGACATGAAAAGCAAGAATTTCTGGCTTTACTTTAAAACATTAATTGCTCTCTACAGTAAACATTTAAAAATCAACTCCTTTGGAGTAGAGTACAAATGCTTCCATGTACAGAAGTTTATTCATTCGTTATGGAGGTGTCTGGAATGAAAAAATTCAATGAAATTTTTTAATACACTCACAAGTCTGTTAATTTGGTGTGGGGCTTTTGGGGAGGGGGGGGGGGGACTGTTGGTTTTTGTTTGAGGCTACTCCCAATACTGCTCAAGGGATCATGCAGTGTCAGACTGAACGTGGCCTCCCAGGCTCCAGCCCTGTCAGTTATCTGGTAACAGGCACTGAATACAGGTTCAAAGCATATACTTCACTACTGAACCACATTCCAGCCCTGTTGATCTATTATATTTATTGATTTTTGTCATTGTGGGGGACATACTTGGCAGTACACAGAGGCCAGCCCTCCTCTGTAATCAAGGGCCACTTCTGGGTCTGGGCCTGAGGGAGCTTATGTGGTGCTGGGACTCAACCCATTACTGTGGCAGCAGCTGTATGCTAAGCAAGCATTTATCCAGCCCAGTGATTCCACTTTTGTGATTAAAATGTTATTTATTATTATTTTTTTAATGCTGAAAAGAAATATCTAAGAAAGAAGCAATGGAATGGTTAAATGAAAATCAGTTCATACAGGCAAATGATATTATGTTCTTCCATAGAGAATTCTTCAGAATTCTTGTTTCTATAATGGAATGTAATTCCAGCTTTTAGATTCCTTACATTTTCTTCACGTAATTTAACAATACCTGAGAGTCTGATCCATGGATTAACCCATCATCTGGGATTTGTTGATGCATATTCATCCCAGATCTATTTTAAAGGTGAACAGATATAAAGACCTTTCATTTAAGTGTACGCAGGTATCAACTTGCCAACATCAAACTCTTGTCCTCCCAGTGGAGAAAAATGCTTCATGTAATATACTGGAAATACAAATTTGTACTATTTGTACCAATGGCAAATATGCATAGGTGCACCAGTTTTACTGTGCATTTTAATTCTCATTTATTCTCAAAATGTATTCAAGATCTACAGCAAAATAATGGCAAGCAAAACAATGGGATCATTGATTCTTCATCAGGTCCAGCCAACTCTTTTCAATGAAAATGGGCTTTCCCATAATAGCAAGGAAATTAGAGGTAACATAGATGTCAACCTTTTTTCCTCTAATATTTTGAGAATGGTTTGATTGTAATAAGTTACTTACACAATAAGTTGTTTGGGAACACAAAATAAAAATTTTTTTTCCAAACTTTTTATTTAGTATTCTGTAGTTGCTTAACACACACTTAAATGGTCTTATTGGGGAGAAGGAAAGGTACTGGGGATTCAGAAAGGCAAAATATGGTCAGCATCCTTTTGCTCTGGGGTGCGGGGTTTACAGGGCATATAGCACTTTCCTTACATAAAGCACTTGATCTCGTATTTTTCAGACCGAGAACATGGGGGATTTCAGCTTACAGACACTGAAATCCTAAAGAACATACCTTAACCACCCTTCAAAATAGAGCTAGCTTGTTTTATTAGGAAGAAGTATTCATTCATCTCTCCATTTTTATGACTAGATGTATGTGGAAGATCTTAGAACTGCTTGCACTATTTACTGGGAGAAATTGGATAGTAAGTGGTCACTTAGGGACACTTGGGAAATCACAACACTAGTAAGTACACAAGTCAAGTCTTAACACATTAAACATTTGCTTGTTTAAAGCAATGTCATAAAAATCAAATAAGATCAAACATTTTTTTTTCACTTTTTCTCCTCACAAGAACATAAAGTTATGGAAGGGAGGAACGTAATAGGAAATTAGAAGAAAAAAAAAAGTAACACTTTCCTTTGAGTAGTCCTTGGGTAGTTATAATAGGTTCCACTTATTTGTTTGTTTCTTCGAACTGGGGATTTTGGTGCAAAGTTTTGTTTTTGTTTTTAATATCTGCTTCTGCATCCCCATCTATCAGATCGGCTTCCTCCACGACCACCACCTCTTGGTGCTCCGCGGCTTGAACTGCTGTAGGAATCACGTGGAGGAGGGTACCCCCTTTCCATAGAAGGGGGTAACCCTCTGTCTTGTCTGCCAACCCGATCACGACCACTTGAGTAGAGATCACTTCGGCTGCTTGAATAACTGTCTCGGCTTCCACCATATCCATCCCGTGAGCTGCTGTAATCATCATAGCGACTGCTTCCACCATAAGACGGCGGTGGCCCTCGCGTAGGTGGAGCACTACGTGAGTTACCATAACTCTCATAGGAATCTCTGTAGGAACCACCACTGGGATGATCTGAATAGTCTCGATCCCGACCGTAGCCATCTCGATCATTATATCCTCTTGATGGATAGTCATCACGTGAACTGGAATGCCCATAATCACGGTAGGTATAATCTCTTGGGGGTGGTGCATAATCTCTGGTATCCCGTGAACTTGGGTAATCTCTGCTCGAGTAGCTGTCTTTAGTAGAATATCCATCATCTCTTGGGGACAAATAAACATCTCTTCGAGACGGTAGGGGCTCCCTTCGAGGTGGGCCTCCATAACTATCTCTTCCACGGGACACAGGAGCTCTCCCTCCCATTCCACTACTGCTTCGAACTGGTCCTGAGGGGGCAGACCTTTTAGGAGGTGGCCCCCCACTTCGTGGTGGTGGTCCTCTTTTCACTGGAAGTGGCCCTCTGGAAGAACTCATACTAAAACTCATGGAATAGCCACCATCATCCATGTACCCTCCGCGTGAGGGTGGCCCCCTTGTTCCTC